TATATGATTATTAGAATTTTTTATAATTTTAAATCATGCATGTGGTATTTACATATGATTATTAGAATTTTTAACAATTTTAAATCATGTATATGCTAATTATATATGATTATTAGAATTTTTAACAATTTTAAATCATTCGTGTGCTTATTATATATTATCCACTTAATTTACTATAGACAACAATATATTTTGAAGGTTTTGTCATTAATTTTGTGACTTTAAATCATTTTAATGCATTATTTACTATTTTAGAAACCCATATATAATGAAATTTAATATGCAGTGCTATTATCTTTAGTCCCGGTTCTTAACCCTAATCGGGTTAAAAAAGAATTTGAAAATAGCGGGAAAAGATCTTTAGTCCCGGTTGGTGATAACAACCGGGACTAAAGATATCTTTAGTCCCGGTTGTTGTCACGAACCGGGACTAAAGATCCCGGGGTATATATATGCCCGAGGCGCACTTGTCTTCTCCACCAATACTTAAAAGTTTTTCTCCGATCTCGACTGCATCACCTTCGCCGCCGCGCCTAGGGCATCCCTCGCTCCGACGCCGCCATCGTCTCGCTGTCGTCGTCATCACCGCTGACGCCGCCGCCGCCGCATTGGGGTGAGAGGCTCCGCGATCTCGATCTCGATCTCTCTCTCTATCTCTCCAAACCGGCCACCTTGCTCATCGTCGTCGTCCTCGCGCCACTCCTGACGCCGAAGCCGCCGCTGCCGCCACTCCCGACGCCGACGCCAACGCCACCGCACAACGTCACCGTCGCGCCTCGGCCGCTACGACGCGGCGTGGCGCCGACGCCACCGCCGCACCACGCCACTGATGCTGCGCCACGCCACTGTCGACGCCGATGCCAACGACGCGGCCGTCGTTGCGGCCGCCGCCACCGTGCAACGCCACCGCCGCCGTGCCACGCCGCCGCCTTTGCCGACGCCACCTTGGCCGACGCCGTGGCCGCCACTGCCGAACGCGAACGACATGTGAACGAACGGGAACGAAACGCGAACGAACGGGAACGAAACACGAATGAACGTGAATGAACCGCGAACGAATGGGAACGAAACGCGAACGAACGTGAATGAACTGCGAACGAACGCGAACGAAACGTGAACGAACGTGAAGTTACATGTCTCACAAATTAATCCATGAACCTAAACTTCTACTCCCCTCCGTCCTAGTTTAATCATGCAATGCACTAATCAAAATATGTTCCTTTGTGTTTAGACTAATATATTTTTTCCATGTTGCACAAAAGACGTCGTCGTCATCCCTCAAGCCGAGGTGGTAGCTAGCCCTATGAGGAATTTGCGTAGGCAAGTGATGTAAATATATGAGTATTAGAGTATTAATATATGATTATTAGAATTTTAATATAAGAGTATTAGAGTTTTAATATATGATTATTTAGACTTAGCATATATGATTATTAAAGTTTTAATATATGATTATTAGAGTATTAATATATGATTATTTAGACTTAGCATATATGATTATTAGAGTTTTAATATTAGAAACATAGACTTTGCATATATGATTATTAGACTCAGCATATATGATTATTAGAGTTTTCATATAAGATTATTGGTGTTTTAATATATGATTAATTATTAGACTTAGCATATATGATTATTCGACTTAGCATATATGATTATTAGAGTTTTCATATAAGATTATTAGAGTTTTAATATATGATTGATTATTAGACTTAGCATATATGATTATTCGACTTAGCATATATGGTTATTAGAGTTAGCATATATGAATATTAGACTTAGCATATATGATTATTAGACTTAGCATATATTAATATTTATCGTTTTAATATAAGATTATCAGAGTTAGCATAGATGATTATTGTAGTTTTAATATATGATTATTAGAGTTAGCATATATGAATATTAGACTTAGCATATATGATTATTAGACTTAGCATATATTAATATTAGACTTAGCATATATGATTATTAGACTTAGCATATATTAATATTTATCGTTTTAATATAAGATTATCAGAGTTAGCATATATCATTATTAGAGTATTAATATATGATTATCAGAGTTAGCATATATGATTATTTTAGTTTTAATATATCATTATTAGAGTTAGCAAATATGATTACAAGACTTAGCATATATGATTATTAGAGTTCTAATCAAATATTATATACGTAATTAACAAACGGCTGCAAATATTTCTTGTATGAACATATGGCTGATCGCGATGATGAACAGATACTATACGATACAATCGCAGAGGGAAGCAGCCAATACTGGAATGAAGAAGAGGGGAACGAGGATCCAAACCAGTACCTGAACAAGGAGGGGAACGTGGAGAGGGATGCAGAGGGGACTGAGGAGGGGAACGAGAAGGCGGAGGCTAGTGAAAATCAACCATCTGCTGGACAGAAGAGGGCACGCGAACAATGAGGTGCCACGAAGAAGATAGAGGGTCGGCACATCATAACTGAGGTGGACGAAGATGGCCGACCTAGTGCCCCGGCAAAGTAGCCAAGAATTTTGTACGACAGCGGTTGGGTTGTGAGGGATAAGGTGCCTGTCAGCAAGGTGTACTGGCGCAGAACAAGGGCACGGGGGGATTATGACAACTTTGTCCTGGAATCAGAGAAAGATATGCTGTGGACCACAATGCTCGATACGTTCATGCTCCCTGCGGGTACGGAGAACATAGCGAAACAGTGGACTCTTAAGAAAATAGCAAAACAGTTCCAGAGCTTCAAGGGACGTCTCTACAAGAAATACATCCTAAAGGGGCTAACTTCGACGTATTCCCGAAGCTAAGGGATCATTGGGACGAGTTCGTTGCTTACAAGACATGGCAACAAGGGCAAGCGATGATGGACAGAAACAAAGAAAATGCCGCCAAGAAGAAGTACCATCGCCACTTGGGGTCAAGCGGCTATACCGTCGCAATGCTGAAGTGGGAGGAGATGGAGGCCAGCTTGATTGAGACGGGTATCGAACCGGCCACCGCTAAATAGCCGGATCGATCGAAGTTCTGGTACTATGCTCACGGTGGAACGCTTAACCCCGTTGATGGCTCCCTGGTGTTCAGCAATCAGATACGCGAGGCTGCTAGTCGACTAACAGACACAGTGGAAGTCTCTTCTCAGGGCACGTTCCGACCCAACAGAGAGAAGGACGAGCTGTCACTCGCCCTGCAGACTCCCGAGCATCCTGGACGAATACGAGGGAACGACGTGGTTCCTTGGAAGATTGGATTCAAGGACATCCATACGTACAGGAGTCGGATGAGGAGCAAGAGAGATACCGAGGCGAAGATTGCAGATCTTGAGTACAGGGTATCGAGCTACGAGCTCAGCATGCAGGAGGAGGCGGCAAGAAAGGTGGATGAACGCATGGCCGCACATCGGTGCCAGGATCCCCAGCCGTACATTCCTCCTGTAATGGTCAGCCCCTCAGGCAATCGTAGCAGCTGCGCCTCAACGGAGCAGGTAGGATCACAGAGCATGGACGCCATGCAAACTCAGGACGAAACCACCTGCCCCGTTGATGAGATCACGCAGCGGACACCATGTGAGCTGCATATTCCCTTCAAGAACTTATCAATCAAGGTATGCCCGTAGTTTTATGTTTTTTGGACTTGTACATTCCGCAAGTTTCTACTTAGGTTGATTACTAATAGATAACATCTCATAACGTGAAGGTTGCGTCGGGAATGGCCATCCCAACGGACCCTTCAGGGACTTACCACTGCTGGCCGATTCCAGCAGGATACTCGAAGGTCGAAGTTGAACTGGTGGAAGCCGCGTACGAGGACCTCGAGTTGGACTACCCTGGAGGAGACGGTGAGACGCATCTACGCGACACAAGCCAAGCCATTATACTATGGCGCAAGCGCTACATCATCCTCCCTGGGCGACAAGCGGCGTCTCGTGCACCATCCCCTCTGGCTCCACCGTCTCCTCCTGATCAGGCTCCTGCACTGTCTCCTCCTCAGGCTCCTGCACCGACTCCTCCTCAGGTTCCTCTGTCGTGTCTTCCGGCACCTTCCAAGTCAAGAACTCACCAAGCTCCACCGCCTGCCAGCGCAAGGGCAACGAAGAAGGCGAAAGTTGACGCCGCCAAGAACAAGGAGCCCCGTACGATTGCACGCAAGAGGAGCTCTACGCTTACGTGGCAGAAGAAGTGAAGAGGCAATTGAAACCTTGGAGTCCAGAAAAGCAGATTACTATAGACCCGAGTGACAAAGAAGTTCTTCCAGAAGATGTCGGGACCACTCAAGGAGGCCTTAAAGCTAACGGACTATGAGCGAACACTTAGGAAAGCACATTCTGGAAAGTCCAAAAAAGTCCCTCAGCTTGGAGAGCAACCAAACCAGGAGGTCGAGCCGTTGGTGACCGGTTAAGAATTTGGAATAAAAGAATTCATTTCTGACACCCGGCTAACTAGGGCTCAGTTGCTTAAAGGCGCACCAATCCCTAAGGCGGAAGTGAGACACCCGTATGAACTCGGTAAACCGCTTGTCAAGACTAAGCAGCTGCAGTCCCTGCCGAAACAGATGTACTAATTCTATCAAAGGTACATGGAGATGAGCGCCAGCGGTAGTGAGATTATCGGAGCGAGGATCAAGAACGCTGACTTCTTACAAGGAGAAGATGTTCTCTGGATCAATTTTAAGAATATATACAAACTATACCAGCTGGATGCCCTCGACGTCTCTCTTCTGAGCGGATGGATTTTGTACGTATCGTTGAGTTATATTTCTTACGTTCGTTTAGTTAGCTCCTTGTATATATGTACACCATAAAGATGGCTTAGCTGGCCACCTGGCTGACCCATCTTTAGTCCCGGTTGTGACTAAAGATCGATCTTTAGACCCGGTTATTTCACCCGGGACTAAAGATAGCGATCTTTAGTCCCAGATTGGTAGTCCCGGTTTGAGAACCGGGACTACAGGAGGGTTACCAACCGGGACTAATAAGGGTTTCTCCACCAGTGAATTCCTACCTCATGGGGATTAACTGAACGACTGTTTGCTATTCATTGTTTATTGGCATGACGTAATATATACCAATGGTGTGGCGAATCACGACACTTTGGAAACACTCAACAAATTCATAATTTCCCACAGTAAGAAAACATTAATGACGACGAACTGATGTTTCCCTGTCGATCAATCTTCGCATTCAGTCGCTTCATTTGGCCTGATCAGTGAGCAATTCTTTTCGTTTTCGCCATCTACTCTTCATCGTCCCATTCATCCGTCGATTCATTTCGCTCATATATTATTACGGAGTACTACTCACCATAGTTAGCTGGTCTTGTACATTATCTTCTTCCTGCAATGTTAAAAGACGTACATATATAGTCATTATCAGCAGTACAAAAGGGATATATGGAAGTAAACTTTCAAGTGACAGAAAAACTATTCAGCTACAACAAAAATACTTTGTATAGACATTTCTTAATACTACATAGGCACTTTTTAGATGTCTCTACAATACTCTAGAGGCATATCCAAAAATGTCACATAAATATCTTCTAGTAAATTGTCTCTATAAATGAATAGGTACTTTACACAATGTCTCTATGTCTTCTGACATTCTCATAGAGGAACCTTTTTATGTCTATAAGAGAGTATATAGACTTTTTGTAATGGCAATATAACCTGTCACAACAATAGCAAACCAATATAAAAAAGGAAAAACATAACTCTAGACTTTGCAATTGCCAATCCTTAAACTATGGACCTCTTGAATATATCATTTTCAACTTGATTGGTTTAACCATCTGCTACTACTTGTACATTTGTGCCCCGTGTTACTTTTATCTAGTTACTTAGTATAGATTAAAATTTCTATAAGTGCCTCTATATATAGAGATTGAAATGACTCAAGATAAATTTAACAAATTATGCTAAAAAAGACCTCTAAAATATCTCTAGATTAAAAGTGTTTTTGGTAATATTTGCTTCCAAAAACTGTCTCTACACTTTAGAACACCTGATTTTATAAGCATTTTATAAACTGCCTCTGCAAAAGTGCATGAGGTTTTTGGTCATTATCAAATTATAATGAATCAGTATGAATTTAATTTGCACATGTAATAATAAGATGACGCTGGCCTAGAATTAATATTCTTTGATTTATTGTTGCATGCTGTGGTCAATGTATAAGCTTGGAGGAACTATAATTATGTAAACACGACTGGGCAAATGAAGAGAAGACGACGCGTTTACCTTCCATCGCCCATTTGGAATAATGTGTATAGAGATGATAAGATTAGATAAAATAAGCAGTAGAATTGAGTTGGATGAGTTGTGTGTGATTACATGATTTTCGTCTGCTTAATCTGGTACTGGTCAGATGCCCCATGTTTCTCCTTTTCCTTCTCACTGTTAGCCAATGCAAGAAAACAATGAAATCACATATATGGTCACGATAAAACAAAGTACTCATACACAAGCAGTTTTTTTTGGTTACATGTTACAATTAACTTCAAAGAACATTTGAAGTAGTCATAAAGGTCACAATAATATGTGGGAGCTATTTTACGGTCCTCCATTTTTACTCAGGGATTGAAATTTCTGAAATTTCTAACCCTCTAGCAGGTAACAATCTCGGCGACATTTTCAGGTTTTTTCCCCCTTTTTTTTGAAATTTGGTCAAATTATATTCAGATTTAGTTATAATCTGCTAAATTTTCAAAAAAATTCCGTGCAAAATAAAAGTGTGAACCTGTCTTTACCTAGCTATATGGCTACATATATACGGTGCTATGAGTAAACAATACATAGTAAATCGTAACTATTGGATTTTTTTTATTTATACTTTATCTGTTGACGAATATTTATACTTTATTAATGTCCATAATTACTTTTTGCATCCAAGGAATTTTTAGGGCGCCAAAAAAATATAAGTGCATATAATTAATTAACTACTTAATTGGTGGCAAAATAATCAGGATGGGAAAGACTGCACGGTTAACCTGACGTGGAGAATTTGCTCAGGAGACGACGGCCGCCGTGGCCGGGTGATCTCCATCCCGACGGCGGCGCAGCTTTCCGGCCACATCGCCTGCCTCGCCGTGGCGTAGTTCTTGCCGCTGCCGACCTCGATCCCTTCGAGCAGCTCGCAAGCCTCCGCCGCCACCACCTCCCTGTCGGCGGCGGCGGGGTCGTTCGCCGAGTACCACGTGCCGACGAGCTCCTTCCCCGTGCACGCCTCCGCCCTCAGCATCAGCAGCTTCCGCAGCCGCGCGTAGGCGACCTTGTCGCGGAGCAGCGCCGCCACGTAGCCCGGGAGTGGGCGCCGGCGCCGGGCCTCCGGGAGCGCCACCGCGGCGCCCTCCCACACCACGCAGTGGTCGTGCGCCAGCGCCAGCGCGAGGCCCAGCGACGTCGCGTCGCCGTTCACGGCGGCCGCGGTGGGCGCCGGCATCTCGAGCAGGAGCCGGACCACCTCGCCCACGCGCGCCGCCACCTGTTCGTCCGGCTGTCGGGCGGCGTCGTGGTCGACGCCGTCGCAGAAGGAGCCGAGCCTGGAGGTGGTGACGAGGCCTCTCAGCCCCGGCGTGTCCCGGACGGCCGTGAGGCTGGCGATGAGGTCCCCGATGGCCTCGTCGGTGAGATACTGGTGGCCGTCGCTGCTGGCCATGGTGAGGACGAAGATGCCATCGATTGGGGATTGCACCGTGCAGAAACCCATTGCTGATGGCTGTACTGTATCGAGTCAGTCAACCAATGAACTCAACTGATTAGCTTTCTACCAGGGAAATTTGTTTTTGGGAGTTTGGACGATGGAAAGACAGATGCGGGTCTGGGTGGGTATGTGTCACCATTCAGATGAATAAAAAATAGTTTAAATATTTTTTTAAGAAAAATGTAATAAATGGTTTTAAAAACAAATGTTTTTACCCATCTGAGAGAGGACAACGTGATATACAATATTGGTGAAATGTCATTGTGCGGGCTTGTCCTAAAAGTTTATTTTCAAGACTAATTTGTTGGAGTATGTTTCTAAAAGATCAGTTAAAAAGGATAAAAGTGAAAAAAAATCATCTTCCTGTTATAGCTATTCATTTAACTATTAGCTTGTTTCTCTCTAATTTTTCTTCATATGTTGTACTGAACTACTGATAAAAAAACTATTAGGATTTCATCCTTTCAATTATTGCCAACTATTATATGATAACAAACTGTGCAATTAATATTATCCAACAATATAATGTGCATGACGATTTTATTAATTTCAAAAGGACTGTATCATGATAAAGTTCGGATCGATCGAGTATATGGATGAAGATCGATGATCAAATACAAAGTCACAATCGCCAAGAGCAGATATCATCGATGAAGATCTGCCACAACACAAGGAGAAGGGAATTAAAATAGAATCAAAGGTGAACGTCGATCACGATGAGACGAAGAGCTCGTGTCCATGGATGCACGCTGACGCCGGTGAGACGATATCGCTCGAGATTATCCATTATTCGTCATGAACAATGGCACACACGGCCTCCCAGCTCTCCCGGTAGAGCTGCCTCCGCGTCTCGGCGTGCACCTTCCCGTCCTCGCCAGCCGCCGGCCACTCGCCGACGAGCCTCTCCGCCTCCCGCACCACGCCGTCGCGGCTGGCCGCCTCGCCGTCGGCGAAGTACCACCTCCTCATCCAGCTGCCCGTGCGCGGCCTCGACTTGAGCGTCGTCAGCGTGTACCACCGGTCGGTCTTCTCCCGGACGAGCGCCGCCACGTGCGGTGGCACGGCGACGCCGTCCTCGACGTTGCCGAGCTTGTAGTAGGCGTCGCTGAGGACGACGAGGTCGTCGTGCGCGAGCGCCAGGGCGAGGCCCAGCGACGCCGCGCCCCCCGTGGCCGCGCACACTGTGGGCATCGGCATGGCGAGGAGCTCCCGCACCACGGCGGCCATGCCGTCGGCGAGGACCCTGGCCTGCTCGGCCACCGGAGCGGCCATGTTGGCCCGGAGGCTCTTGTGGTCGATGCCGTCGCAGAAGGAGCCCGTCGTCGGCGACGACGGCGAGGAGGAGGAGGAGGAGGAGGTGATGAGGCCTCGGCATGGCTCCGGCGACGACGAGGCGAGCTCGCGGATCTCTGCGAGCTTCTGCCTGAGCTCATGGAGAGCTTCCTTGGTTAGGTAGTGATGGCCATCGACTCCGGTGAGCTTCAGGTGAAAGACGCCGTCGTCGGTTTTCGCCCACTCACAGAAGGAGGACATTGTCATTCAGTCACTACTCTAGCTGATGCAGGAGTGAGGACTGGACTCTGCATACTGGCCCTTTGCCTAGCGACAAACGAATGCTGCTCATGAAAACAAAAGAAACAAGGGACTAGACTACACATATTTATCACATAACTGAAATTTTGCTGAAAATTTAAGTCAGTATAACCTTTTTGAGCGCCATATAGTCCAATTTTAGGCCGAGAGAAGTACAAATTTTAGATTAAAATTGAATTGCAAAAAAAAAGATATATTGAGTTATTGTCACTGTTTTTTAATAAATATATTTATGTAATTAAGACCAAGGTTCAATTTCAATTTCGGCCATTTTGGTTATCCCGAAATTCTGGTATTTTTGGCACTTTCTGGACCTATTTATTTTTGAAATTTTAATATAATTTCACTAAATTTGATTAAATTTTAACCAAATTCGCAAAAAAAGGAGAAAAATCAAAAATTCCGGCCGAAATAATCACTTGCCGGGGAGGGGTGGGTGGCGGGTGTCCAAAATTTTGGAAATTTCGAACCGAAATTGCAATCACTGACTTCAACTTCAGATACAAGTCTCTCTGGCAGCTTGAAGTTTAGAACCAGACATCTAACCAATCCATACTATTTACATATCATATTACCGCCTAATTTGATTATGAACTTCGGAAACTCAAAGAAACAGTTTAATATAACATATTGATATATCGTCATTCCGCAACCCATATTTTATACTCTGGTAATGCCGTGCTAATATTTGTGTCTGTAAAAATGGATAAAAATAAAAAAAAATGCATTGTATTATAAATATATGTCCAATATACATATGCCACGTAGACAAACTTATCCATCTTATATACAAATTAGATAAACAAAACCACTTTACAAAACTACCTTAGGGGATTGATGTGTGTCCAATTTCAAAGCCTAGATTGCTAGATGCACTGCTAGTCAAAATTCAGGGGGTATATAGAATTATTTCCTAAAAATAAGACAGATAAAAAATATTCTTGCCTATTTTTTATAGGAAATAATAGTCTACCATATACGGAGTATATTATATATTTGGATATGTCTACCTAGCAAAGCCAGTACGTAAAATACTTGACCATGCATTTGAGTCACCCTAAACTAAACTTGAAACCAAGTGTCTAGATCATCAGTATATTTTCTCCCACTAAAATTCTAAAATTTAACCGATCATCATGCTTATAAACTATGCAGTGTGTGGCTTGAGCGGAATGTATGGGTTGTCAGTTTGAAGACCTTGTATGCCATGCATGCAAAAAGTTTCAAGAAGTGTGAAGATGATCATATCTTCTACAAAAAGTTTGTAGGTGATTAACCAGGTTAACAATTTAGTGAAAATTAATTAGTTAGCGACTTTATTTTCAGGAAGTCAAAGAAGCGTCCACAGTAATTTTTCAAGAAGTGCTCATTTTTCATGACTTTATTTGTCACAAAGATATAGTTTTTAGTAACAAAAATAATATCTAAACCATTGCACCTTAATTAATTACTCCCTCCATTTCAGGTTATAAGACGTTTTGACTTTTTTAAAGTCAAACTACTTTAAATTTAACTAAGTTTATAGACAAATATAGAAATATTTATAATACTAAATTAGTTTACTTAAATCAATAATTGAATATATTTTCATAATAAATTTGTCTTGGGTTAAAAATATTATTGCTTTTTTCAACAAATTTAGTCAAACTTAAAGCAGTTTGACTTCATCAAAGTCAAAACGTCTTATAACCTAAAATGGAGGTAGTACTAACTCATATCTTCTAGATGGCTCTCCATACGCGGTCTTTGATACTTTTACAAAAAAAAAGCAGGATATTATACATAATGGTGCTATACTTTTCAAATAAATAGCTAAACACACCTAGCGGTCTTTTATTTCACTTTGGATAAGATAGTTCTTAATTTTAGAATTTCTTAACTGAATCTATGTAATTTCTATCCAATATATTTTATCTGGCTATAGATGGGGATTTGTCCCAGGACCTTGAATTATTTACTTAAACTTTTATAACTCCCTGGTTGTTTACCATTTTTGCAGAGGGCAGGGATGTGAATCATTTTTAACTCTACGACCTTATAAGATAGTGGTGCCACCACCACCCCCAACTACCATGTGGGGTATGCAAAAAGTGAAAGAAGACTTTTTCCTAACCGCACGATCAAGACCCCATGCACGCAAGATAAATATATGATTTTTTGCCTTTATTGATCGTGCGGTTAGGAAATAGAATATCCGTTTATCCGTTTAAACAATGGCACTGTACATAGTACTTTCAAAAATTGTAGACCCTAACTCAATAATGGCTACAGTGCCGTTTAAACCGCAAATATCCGTTTAAACAATGGCACTGTACATATTGGCAACAATAATTGCACTACCTGGCTGAAACCAATATAAATATCACATAATGTCGACATTTTGCTAGGAATAACTTTCTGGTACATGAAATGACAGGTAATTAATCATTTTTATGAAGCCGTACTAGCTAGTAGTACATAATGATTTGTTGGCACATACAAACGGAAGGATCCCCTAATAAATATTTGAGCCATCCAGGTCACCATCCATCGCTACTTGTGTTGATCACTGATCAGACATCGTAGGGGTCAACTGACGCCGGTATTTTTGTAATCTAGATCGACCCCGGTTTACAGGCCTTCCTATATTGGTTTTTTTTTTTTTTTTTTTTTTTTTTTTTTGCTGCTGCTGCTGCTGCAAGTGACAGCCGTGAGTTACGCTGGTGGTTAGGTTGTAATCTATGTATGGCCCAAAAATATAGTGACCTGATCTGACTTGTGGTCAATTAATCTAACATCAAGTTGTGTAAATGTTTAGGTTAGGTGCCACATGTATAGGTGCTCATCCAATGGAATCTTGTAGTGGCCTAATGTTTCAATCACCCTTAAATTATGCTGTGTGATTAGACCCTTCCATCTAAAAATTTGACCAACAGTGTTAGTCATGGTCAGCAGATATATTCAATTACCACCATGGATAATTGAATATAGTTGATCATTTTGCGCAAAGCAAAATATTGTTGATCAACATCAGCAGTGATACATTTTCAGTGCCAGAAACCAACAGATCTTACAAATGCCAACATATCAACATCAATCCACACTACTACAAAAAAACCCTAATAGTTATCGGCTTATAGGTGTCAGTTTATATAAAACCGGTAGCTACAGACCTTTGCTATCTACGAGCGATGAAAAATATAGAACCGTCATCTTTGAGGAACTATAGGTGCCGGTTCAATAGGAAAAATCCATAGGTATCGGTTCATAGGTGCCGGCATTTAATTTGTTATATATCTCCACGCAATGAAACTATATAGAACAAGCACCTTAGGAACTATAGGTGCCGGTTCAATATGCAAAATTGGCACCAATACTATAGCTGGCTTTTTTAAAAAAAGTAACCGGCACCTGTAATACATTTTAGGTACCGATTAATTAAAAAGACACATATTATATATTATAGGTACTGGCTTTTTAAAAAACCGACACCCCATAAAACCGTTTGCCTTATCATCCTTATCCGCTGCTCGCTCTCCCTCTCCTCCTCTTCCTCCTCTTCCGCTCCCTCCATGCCACCCCTCTCCATTCACCACCGCTTCCCTCCCAGCGCAGGTGGCCACGAGGTGGCCAAGGGAGATGGTGACGGCAACAGGTGGCCACGGTGGTGGCCAAGGGAGGCGGTACGCTCCTTAACCACCTATTGAGGGAGTCAAAAGTCTTGAGGGAGCAGACGCTCCTCCTCCGGCACCTCCTTGCGACGGCGGAGACGCTCGAGGGACCATGGCTGCGGAAGCGGAGGTGGAGTTGGGGGCTCAGTGGGGAGGTGCCACAGTGAGTAGGTGAATTTTGCCAGTTCCTACTTGTGAAATTTGTGATGTGTTGTTAAACTGCTGCATTCGGATCAATTTGATTTTCCACTACTACTTGTGAATTTTGTGATTGTTGATGGAAAACACGGCGGTTTGGGAGATTTGCTTCACTCCAGTGCAGGTCTAAGACTTAGCTCGAGTGTCAAGAGCGTGCCAGCTGGTTTGATCCTACAACTAGCAAGAGAGACTGAAAACATAATTAGATGAATGATAGCCGATCAGCTAATAGGGCCGATGGCGTATCATCGGGACCTAGCCGATACGGGTAAACCTAATCGGCTGCGGCTTCATGATAGTCAATCAGAGCAAACCCTAAATATGCCCTATCGGCTGTAATACTGTCTCTTTGTATTTTATCAATTGTTTTAAGACAGTACTATAGAAATAGCCGATAGATCATTATTTAGAGCAAAGGTAGATAATGTACTGGCTAATACTCCAATACAGATTTATATAAATATATCAACCTATATAAACATACCAAACAACAATCAATCACCAGATATGAAGTTTAAGCGAGATCAATTTAACCTGATGTATCTATATAAAGTGGTTTATCTATATAAATGGCAAATATACATAAGCAAACCATGAAATATGAATTATCAAGTATATTAGTTAGGATCGGCTGAAACCCCAATAATATATATCCTTAGCTATGATTAATTCCAGGTTGGCAAGATTCAATCTCCTTTTGATTATATTTACCATAGCTACTCCTGATGTGTTGGATTGATGCGATTGATGAGTCAATTGGAGTGTTAGATTAAAGCCGCCAGGAAGGTGCTTGATGCATCGCCTCGATTTGAACATCAAGCCCTTTTTTTAATACATGAAACATCAAAGTTGCTGGTTGAGTCTTGGCTTGTAACCCAGTTGAGCGCCTATGAAGATAGATCCATAGGCCTGCTAGTCCGCTGCTGTTTATTTTTGTTTGTCAGGCCTAAAGAGCCATTGTAATAATGTAAATATTATCGCTATAATAATATCATAATTGTTGAAGGGTACACCAGCTTTTCCAGGGACGGAGATCAATGTACTATAGTATTCAGGAAAGGTATTTCCCGTAGCTAATCTCGGCCATTAGCACCAATCGGGGTGATTAGCGATAAAGGCTACCATAATTTCTCAAAAAAATAAAACAATTAGTTTTCAAATATTGACGTGCAAGTTTTCAATTCTAAGTTAAAAGTTTTTGAATTTTAGGTTGAAAGTAATCAATTTTGACTTGCAAGTTTTGAAATTTGAGTTGAATGTTTTGAATTTAGGTATGAAATTTTTTGAAATTTGAGTCGGATGTTTTAAAATTTTAACTTCAGATTTCTGGAATTTCATTTGAAAGTAGTCAATTTATAGTCAATGTTGATTTGAAATTTTCAAAACGTAGACTGAAAGTTTTCAAATTCTGAGTTTCAAAGTTGTCAAATTCAAAATGAAATTATTCAAATCCCTAATTGAAGGTTTTATTTTATTATTAGAAAGTTTACTCAAATTTTCAAAATTTAAGTTAGTCTAAAAAAACACGCTATATATAAAAATAGAATAAGTTGTAAGAAAAATGTCCAACGTGGAGACCCACTAAAACTGGAAAAGAAAAGGTAAAAAACACGTGAGAAAAAATGGAAAGAGTGCGGGAGAGACAGAAAAAAAAATGAAAATCAGAAAAAGAAAAAACAAAGGAAAGTCCGCATAAAAAGAGTAAAACGGAAAGCGCGTGAACCTGCATGCCACTTATGTTTGTCGCGCGTACGCACGAGATAGCAAATCTGGTGTGTGTATTCATCAGAATGGGCGCATTGTGATAGCTTTGTAACATGTTTCTCAAAAAAAAATAAAATAGCCCAAATATTAATTTTTTTCTAGGAAAAGTTCCGATAATCAGATTCAGAGAGACAGTACAGAGTATTCATACACCCATGGATATGTCCACATTTCACGAACTCGTACGATTGTCGTGCAACGAAGAAATTATTGAACCATTTCGGAATGCCGGAAATCTGGGCACATCTAGGCGAGGAATTCACAGACGGCCTTCCACGACTCCGGGAAGAAGCTCTTACGGGTGGCGACGTAGGCCTCGCCGTCGCGGACCTTGCCGATGGAGGTGGTCACGATGCCCGCGGCCTCGCCGGTCACCTCCTCCCTGCCGTCGCACCTGGAATCGGTCATGTACCAGTAGCCGCCGAACGTGGACCCGTCCATGGCCTCCGACCGGAGCACCAGCTTCGACCTCATCATCGGGTACGGCGCCTTGTCCCGCAGCAGCGCCGCGACGTACGGCGGCGGCGCCGGCGGGAGGTCGCCGCCGCCGCCGTCGTCCCGCCTCAGTCTCACCTCCGGTGCCTCGAAGGTGGCCTCCTTCCAGACGGCCATGTCGTCGTGCGCCAGCACCAGCGCCAGCGCCAGGGACGACCTGACGTCGCCGGCGACCGCGGCGGCGGTCGGGAACGGCATGTCGAACAGCGCGCGGACCGCCTCGGCCGTGCGGTACGCAGCCAGCTCGGCTGTCGCCGCCGCAGACGTGCCGCCGTTGTCGACGTCGTCGCAGAACGAGCCGCCCTCGCCGGCCGCGAAGGTGGTGACGAGGCCTTTGCTCGACGGCCTGGCATGGCCGCGGACCTCCTTGAGCTTCTGCTCCAGCTCTGCTATGAACTGCTCGGTGCGGTAGTTCTCGCCGCCGCCATGGCCGCCAAGAGTCAGGAAGAAGACGCCGTTCTTGGTTGATAACTGGCAAAAACCCATGGTGATGGCGGAGAGTATGGAGTCTCTGGAGTGAAGAGAGCATATACAGCGACGACCTATTAATTCTTCCTCAACGACTAATGCTCTCTCCTTGTCTAAATATTTAACGCCGTTTACTTTTTTAAACATGTTTGACTGTTCGTCTTATTCAAAAACTTTTGTGAAATATGTAAAACTATATGTATACATAAAAGTATATTTAATAATAAATTAAATGATAAAAAAAGAATTAATAATTACTTATATTTTTTAATAAAACGAACGATCAAACATTTTTAAAAAAGTAAACAGCGTCAAACATTTTAGGATGGAGAGAGTACATCAAAGGGGCCAATTTAATTTTACCCTGTATATTTGTATGGACTCTAACCTAAGTAAGATCCTCTGAATTCTAATATTTTCTTTAATTCAGAATTTCAGCTATTTTAAAACTGTATTTATGTATGGACTCTATTTTTTTAATTACGAGAATTTCCAAGCCATCGAGAATGGATATGGAGGATTTGTAGGATGGTTGGGTGTGTTTGAGATAAGGGAAAGGAGAAGACTTTCAAACTTGAAAAATGGATTAATATGATTTTTAAAAGCAATTTTTCTATAGAAATTTCTTTAAAAGTACACCGTTTAGCAGTTCGGGAAACGTACATGTGGAAAATAAGTGAGTTTTTCGTCTTAATCTGCTGGTGCTGAACTCAACGTCTTAAACTAGACATTTGTCTTTGGGTTTAGTAGATGGGCATACCATGAACGAATATACTACTTTTGTTGCTAATATAACATTCTTTAGCCGGTCGGCCCTATTTGTTATGTACTCCCTCTATCCCAGTTATATGGATAGTTTCTAGGACGGAGGGAGTATATATACGTGAATTTGTTGCATGGATAGTTGAGGACATCACTTTTTCAGATACACATACTAGCAACTTCTCGAGTTTTTTTTTCAAGGTCCAATTACAAGAGCTCATGTCGATAATTAAATTTACAGGTGATCTCGTTCCAAATTACTTCTTTATGTGCTTTTCATGATAGATTGCTACCTAATAATTTAATTATGATTGGAAACTATGGAGAGGATCATGCAGCACTTGGAGAGAGGCTAGGAGATGGACAAGGTCTTCATGGACGTTTAAGATAGAGGTCCAACTCATATCAAGTTCAAGTCCACCTCGGGCTACAAGAGTAGTCCACACTTAATTCATCACCCATGCTATATTCGGACTCCGGTTTCGACATTTTACATATGTATGAAAGTAATGAGACCACCTTTCCAGTGGATTAGTCTCACGTCAAAATTCCTTACGAGTCAACGGGAATCGTCGTAAAAAGAAGGCGTTCAAAATCTGTCCGAATGCTGTGGCACTGTCTTTGGACCTGTTGGGTCGTGTATCGTGTTGGTTACTAATAGGGATGTGTCCAGGAGTCCAAGGTCGACTCTATAACCTATCTATTCAGTAGCCATTATTGAGTAAGGGTTAGGTTTTGATTAGATTATTTCTGTCATTGCAGATTTGCTGCTAGATCGGTTTGTGTAACCCCAAATTCGAGTTCTTGATTAATCATTCATCTGTAATTGAGTTGATATTTTTCTTGTTTTTGCTTATGTATTTCGATTCACACGCATGGATTAGCCTTTTCGGTGAGGTAAATCAGGTTTCGGTATGGTTGATAACCAGAGGAGACGTGGTACAGCGATTACAGGGTTCGGATCTTGCTGATCGGAAGTCGGATTGTGTATATCAAGATTCCGCCAAATTGATAGTTATATTCACCTAACGAAAGATCAGGCATCCCGTTGCCATCATGGATGATGACAAAGCTGTGCATACGTATACAATGAACTGACCATGGAACAAGTAACTATGTACATTTTTTCCCAAAAAAGTACAATGTACATTTCGATAATTTGGAAATTTAATCCCCAGGTACCGACACTAAAGACATGAACCATAGTTTGGCCATTAGAATTGGCCCGACGTTGGATATAGCTAGGTCGATGACTGATCCTCGCCAACAAAGATAGAAAGGGAATTGAAGTCCTGGTCAAGCAATATATTATATATGGTACATGTGGTCACCACATTGTTTGTTTAGTTTGGGACCAGCTATCTAGTCGAAGTCAAATCTTTAGGCAAGGTGTACACCAAATGGAATCTTCCATTGATCGATTTGATCTTTGCCAATTGTTTACGTCAGAAATTTTCCTTACTTGCCGCAACTTACAACTTGTCACCATTATGGCTTTTAGTTTGAGACGCATGCCGAATCGTCAATGTTTAGGCAGGGTGTTAATTAATTATTGATCGATGTAGACGATATCCACATTAATTTGGCGTGGGGTCATTTAGGTCCACGATATCCTCAATTCGATTTTTGGTTCTACAATCTTATTTTAATGAACCATCCAGATCCAAAGCTCGTTTGACTGGGTTTGACCGCCGCTCGCCCTCGCCGCCCTCGCGAAGCTCCGGGGAGGTTGATCCATCGTTGGCGAGCTTGGGGGAGGCGGATCCGTCGGAGGAGAGCTCGAGGGAGGCGGATCCGTCGTAGTAGAGCTCGGGGGAGGCCTATCTGGCACCGCATGGCTCCGAGGCGGGCGTGGATGGCGGCGGGCCCCCGCGCGGCTCGGTGAGTGCGAATGGCGGCGGTCGCGGACTGGTGGCAAACGCGGCTCGGCGACGGCTCCCGTGACGGCGACGGCCAGGTGACAGGCGACGGGCGACGCAGTCGACGGCGAAAGCGGGGGCTCCCTCGCCCTCCCCCGCGAAGCTCCGATGGCGGCCTCAAGCAACGACGACGAGGCGGCGCCGCCGGCTTCGCATGCATGCGTGCCGGCCGGCCAGATAGGGTTTCCTTTTTTTTATTATTTCTTAATTTTTTTCGGAATTTGATTTTTTTGTGCGGGTGATATAACCCGACCGCACGCGAAAATTCAATTATTCCATGCGGTCCACCTAACCCGACCACATGGGAAGATGGATTTTTGTCTGCAGTTGGGCCGCCCGCACACAAAAATATTTATTTTCGCAGACACTTGGTTGTAGATGGGCAAAGCCTCTACACGGAAAAATACTCTTTGACCGCACGGTAAAATCCATTTTGTAGCAGTGAGTTTTGCATTTACCCTCCTCCGTGAACCCGTCTCCCTCTAATCACTATGGTGGCGTTCTGGGCGAGAGTAAGGTCATCGATCAGCCAGTCGACACGATGTCCTTGTGCGAGACGCATGTGCTGAGTGGGAGGTGGGCAGAAGCGTGGCAACTTACTCGCGGTGAGCCAGAGACACGGCGTAGGTTGGCGCTGGTGTCCCTTGAGGACCAGGTTGGGAGGCACGACCAGGGGGACAGGGGGTCGGCGAGGATCACAAGCAGGGCGAGGATCATGAGAGTGTGCCTCCTCCTCGCACCTGCCGCCGGTGTCGCCGCTGCCATTCTTGATGGCCATGCATGTTGCTAGGCTGGATAGTGCAGCTAGCTAGCTACACCTCCTAGTAAGACGGATGTGAAGATCAGCGGGCCAGTGGGGAAGGAGATGCTGATGTGCCCAAGCCCAAGGACCCCAACACCACCGTCATCACGCCGTTCAGGTCGTTCCTACTCCCTCCGTTCCAGAATATAGCAACCTAGAACCGGATGGAACCTTGGAACGTATCCTAGTACTACGAATCTGTACATGTAGTATTAGGATATGTCTAATCTGGTCTTAGCTTGCTATACTATGGGACGTAGGGAGTATATAAGATATTCTTCAAGGAGCATGAGTACAAGTTCAACGGGGCTGGCAAGGCTGGTCGGCATGCTGATGGGCAGCATGCTGCTGTATAGAGGAAGGAATTTGAACGGATGAAGGAGATCGCGCACGAGAGGATTGGGATGGACTTTGCGGTGAGCCAGGGAGTCGACAGCATCATAGAGGCAGTCAAACGAATTTTGGACCTGGATGGTACATCAAAACAAAATTATGGACCTAAATATCGAATTTATAAGATCGTGGACTTAAGTGACATTATGGCTCAACTATTAGAACCGACGAGATAATTTACTCTACGACAAAACAAAAGTATTTCCTAAAACAACAAAAAAAGAATCTATAGGCCAGCCCACTTGTCAAACTCTAGTACTAAATGAATTAAACTATATATAATTAGTTGTGACGACGCCTCTTCCCTACCGGTTATGCTGCCAATATTGACTAACTCAAGGACGGCCCCATGCTATAATTTAGTAGTCGTTGGGACTTATGTTACTTATAGTTTTATGCTCAATTTACGGGTTTTTTTTTCACCCACGGGTTGGTGAGTACGGGTGGGTATAGAATGGACCCATACCATGTACCAAAAGGATAAGAGTATTCACCCGTCAATAAACCGATGGGTATAAGAATTAGAACATGATTAGCTCTTAATAGAGTAAAAACCCATCGGGTGTCGGGTCATGGGTCCCCATTACCATCTCAAGTGCTAACGCCTGGGCATTGTGCGTCAGTACCATGCATCTCCTGCTCCTTTGCTTCGGACGTCACATCCATCCCGCTAGTCGGCGGCCCGGCCTTTGCCTCATCCAGCGGCACCACAGCCTACTCCGGCACCTCTCCTACACAGGCATCCACCTCCTCGGCCTCGGCCTCCGCATGGTCCTCAACTGCCTCTTCTTTCATTATTGTCGTCCTTGTCACCAGTGTTGTCGCCGCTCATATTGTCATTGTCGTCGAAGTCCTCCTCCTCTGACAGTGGGTTCTCGTTGAAGTCCATCTTTAGCAAGGACTTGTTGTACCAGCGCTCGAAGTCGTTGTCCACTTCATCGTCGGGCGTTTCGCTTGGCAATGGTGGCTGCGACTACAAGGTGGTGTAACCATCGTTGGAGCTACTCCTGATGTTGTTCTACTCCTCCTTGCTGGTGGTGATGTAGGACGGATGTGGTGGTGAACCTTCCATGACCAGATGGAAAGGAGAAAGTGTGGATGGAAAAGAGAGAGAGTGTGTGGCAATAAAATCCTTATTGCACGTGGGAATTGCGGAGGCGTGGCATGGTAGTCGAGGATGTGACCAGTGTCTGGCAGTAGGTCTTCTTAGAAAGAAGTGACCAGAGTCTATACGAATACCGATGGAATTGGATGCAGTTGAAAACTTGAAGTAATGGTATGAGGAAGATGAAAAGACAACACCCCATACATGACATTTAGCAGTGCATCCCCTAGAAAAAAAAAATGAAGACTACACATATGGCCATCTATACAATGCCTCGAGACAACCGATTGCGCGCTAAGTATTATTATGGGCCGCAACTTTGCCCGGGTAAACTAAAATAATTTTCATTGGCAACGTACGTCAACGGTCGTCCGTGGTATTCTTATTAAAGAGCAGCTCATAAACCCCTAAACATTCTGTATTTAAATCCATCTATGAAATTAAGGTTTATGGGCCTATAAAAAATCCTTTTTTTTTAATTTAGCAGTGATTGCCTGTGTAGGTTTGGACAAGTGGACTCACAACTTCACAAGTTAGGAGAAGGTTTCGTCTATTAATTACAGTATACAAGCCTATGGGGGGCAAGCAAACGAACTAGCTAGTAGCCCGACCAGGAAGAAAAAAAAAGCAAGAGAAAGCTAGCTAGCAAGCAGCAGCTGGGGGGCATGGCAGAGACGGCGATCACGGCGGTGCTGTCCAAGTTCGGGGAGCTGGCGTCGCGGGAGGCGGCGGTGCTGGTGCAGGTGGGCAACGACATCATGCTGTTGCGCGACCGCCTCGAGTGGCTGCAGGCCTTCGTCCGCGACGCCGACCGGAGGCGCCGGCTGGCCTCCGACGACTTCACCCGGGTGTGGGTGCGCCAGACGCGGGACGTCGCCTTCGACGCCGAGGACGCCCTCGACCACTTCTTCCACAAGGTCAGTCATCGATCGGGCCATCACTACACCATGCACACCGTACCCTAGCTAGCTCTCCTACGGTGGCGAACCACATCATCTTTGAGTTGCTGTACGGTGTACTTCCTCTGTTCCGAAGAAAAAAATCAATGCCGAGAATAAATCTAGATTAAGTTCAAATTCAAACCCGAAACTAAGTTTTTTTTTTTAAGATAGAGGACAGGAGGAGTAGGCGAATAGCTAGTAGAGTGGTCAACAGTGCTGGATCCAATCTCATCCAAGTAACTTTTTTTTTAATTTTTATGTTCGTTTAACGATGGGGTAATTGATTTCTGGTAAATACGTACTAACAAGATCGTTCTTCCGTAAGATTACATCCCAAATCCGCCATTTTCTTGTGACGACGAGCTCTACTCTTCGTTGTCTTAATTTGTGTTTTTCTTCGTTAATTTACTTTACTAGTCTCAATTAATCTCTAGAACTACATGAACTCACTTCGGTCCTAGTTAGTAATCGGCCTTAATTTGGTGTCGGATTCACATCCAACACCCGTCAGGCAGAACTTAATTATAAGGAGCTTCATTGGCGCCAGTTTAACAACCAGCACATATGGATTGTACGGTTTGAAAAGTAAAAGGCTCGGCTCGTGCTCCAAATTCAACCAAAATAAATCGAAAATCGAGAGAGAATAAAAGTCCATCATCGAAATCAAGCTGATGATTAGATTCCTTAAAAAATGAACTAAACAGATAAAAAAATCATAGAATAAACACATCACATAACCAATATTTCCAAAATTCATAACATGGATTTGGAAATTCAAGATCACTCGTTACCACTGTTCACCATGGAGAAGTCCAGGCACCCGCTGCCATGCAAAGAACTGCCGGCTGCAAGATTGGAGGAATAGAGGATATGGGAGGAGGGAGAAGACGTGTGGGGACACTGACCTTTGGCGTTAGCTTCAAGATTAATGATGCCTGTGTCGGTGCGACTCCAGATCTGGTGGAGCCATTGCCACCAAATTTGGCTAAGGAGGCTGAGGCCATGGTGACGACGACAGGAGGAGGGCCTGACGGATGGTTCGCCGCTGCCAACCCCAAGAAGCCGGCACCACACAGCCGTTGTCGTTGAGTCATTACGGATCCACCGTTACGTCATCATGGAGAAGTAGACCACCGCCTACACATCTCCAAGAAGAGGAGGGCCACCACCGCCGCGTCACTGGGAAGTGCTGAACCATCGTCTTCATGTCGCCAGCTAGGTTTTCAAAGGCGGAGATGGAGATAAGGTTCGAGTGAGAGATGCCATTGAGTTTGAGAGACAGATGGACATATTGGAGGGGAAAGAACGACATATTTGAGACCGATTGGCCTTACGTAGTAGGGTCCACTTGATTTTTTTTTCTCCACCCATGCGGCTGCTCCAATATGTTCTGGATAAATAAAAACCGACACCTATGGTTTCTTTATTTGTGCTAGTTTTTTAAAAAAGATATAAATGCTAGTTTTTTAAATGGGAGTACCTATAAAACATTCGACAGTTTTTTGAATGGAAAACTTTCAATTGTAACTACTATGTAATTTTACATTGTAACTACTATATAACTGCAATATAAGTAATATGTAACTCATATATAATTTTGAAAAATTGGATGGATCAATTGGTTAGTTGAACAAGCATGCAAGCTACAGGTCTCATGTTTGATCCTTGTTGCGAGCATCGGGTTTTTTTTTCATTTTTTCCTCCACAGCACAAATTTCAAAGCATATCGTACGGTTAAAAATTTGACAGTTTTCACCCCTCCACAGCACAAATCTCAAAGCATATTGACAGTTTTCACCCCTAAAAACTGTAGACAGTAGGATAGCAAATCCGTTTTTAAATAGACTGGCACATATAAGATCTTAGGTGCTGTTATTAGTTTTAGACTCGTACAAGGGGTCAGGACTTAGGAGGACAGAAAAAGCCTTATATGTACCGGTTCGATAAACCGGTGAATATGATCGGACATCCCCTATTATAGGTTTTGTAGTAGTGATTGTGGTGTGTTATAAGTTTAACAGGATATGAGAAAAGTTAAAGCTTGTATAGATATATTTCTGAAAAAAAAAACAAAATAGACAAGTTTAACATGCCGGTAAACTCAGCTCCACCTTTTAATGTGAAGTGATCGTCATAAATACTACTCCTATAACCAAACACAATTTAGGCCCTGTTTAGTTCCACAAACAAAAATTTTCACGCTGTCACATCGAATGTTTGGACACATGTATAGAATATTAAATGTAAGAAAAACCAATTACACAGATTGGGTGTAAATTGCGAGACGAATCTTTTAAGCTTAATTGCGCCATGATTTGACATTGTGGTGCTACATTAAACATTTCCTAATGACGGATTAACTAGGCTTAATAAATTCGTCTCGCAGTTTCTACCGGAACTATAATTTGTTCTGTTATTAAACTACGTTTAATACTTGAATTGTCTGTCCATATATCCGATATGAAAATCAAACCCAAAATTTTTCCCCAACTAAACAAGGCCTTAGGGGCTATTTAGATCCCAAAACAAAAACTTTTCACCTATCACATCGAATATTTGGACATATGCATGGAGTATTACATATGAAAAAAAACAATTACATAGTTTGCGTGTAAATTACGACACGAATCTTTTAAGCCTAATTGCGCCATGATTTGACAATGTGGTGCTACAGTAAACGTTTGCTAATGGTGGATTAGTTATGCTTGATAAATTCGTCTCGCAGTTTCCTAGCGGAATATATAATTTGTTCTGGTATTAGACTACACTTAATACTTTAAATGTGTGTCTGTATATCTGATGTGATAACCAAACCTAAAATTTTTCCACAGCTAAACAAGGCCTTAGTGGAAACGAAAGGCGTTTTCTGAAAAAAAAAATGATGCCGTGGCACAGCTAATCTCTCACCGTTCCCACGGTGTTTGAATTCTTGCTCTCCAAATTTCAAAAGTACAGTTTCCGCAGTGATGGCCTGAAAATGAGCAATAGATGTAAGCATGTAACATTTTGATGATTCCAATGGTATATGGATCTTCTGGAGAGCTGTATGGGGTAACATCAGCTTACCAAATAAAGTCTTGAAATCTGTAAAATGTTGAGCAAAGCGTCTGTATGCTAGATTTGCTTCAGGGTCTTGATGCTTCAATGAAACGGAAAATCGCTAAAAGTTTGAGAGCGGGCGGTGGCCGCGCCCGGTACGGCACCGCCACGACGTGGCACGGAGGCGGCGGCGCGGCTGCAGACCCCATTGCAGCGGCGGCGAGTTTGAGGAGGAGGACGCGCCTCGTTGGCCTGCCTCCTCCGCCCACCACCGCACTGCCGGCTTCGTGCGCTGCCCACCGTCGCCCCACTTCGCCCGCTGCCACCCCGCCGGCTTCACGCGCCGTCATCCTACTCCGCCAGGCTGCTCTGCCGCCCTCGCCCCATTCCACCTGCCTTCTCTGCCTGCCGCCGCCTCACGGGCTTCGTGCCGCCGCTCAACTCCGCCTCGCCGTCGCCACACTCTGCTCGCCGCCGTGCTCGAGGTCGTCCTCTTCGATCTCCCTCGTGCTCCCGCCGCCGCCACCCTTCCCTTCAGCCGTGTTGCCACCGCCTCATCGCTGGCCGGCCGTCGGATCTCCATGCCCCGGCGACCTCCTCCCCACCACCGGCCGTCCAGAGCCCCATATAGGAGTGAGCGAGAGAAGGAGGAGGAAGGGAGAGAAGAGGCTGACGTGGCATCTTCACATGTGGGTTTCACGTGGGTTCCACGCTTACTCAGCCACCACGTATGATAAAACCGGGATCAAAACTGCCGAGGGACCTCTTGTGACCGGTTTTGATTAGTTAAGGGATATCGGACATCTGGTTTTGCAGTTTGAGTATGTTTTTATAACTCGATGACAAGTTCAGGGACCTTCTGTGTATTTTTCCCAAAATATACCGAGAGCAGAACCAGCCTTCGAGCAGTCGGCCTAACCGGTCTCCTGCAGTCCGAGCCTAGTAACAAAAGTATTGCAATAAAATGACAGGAAAAAGAAAGCCTAGCTAGCCGTAAATGGGCCAGCCCTAGGTGGGCTGGCGCTCGCTCCATAGTGTTAAAAAAAAACTAAAATTGAGCGGTAACATGTCTCCAGTGGAATCAATAGTGGAATGGAAGAGAAAAGGTTAACAATTTTCATTGTAAGAACAGTAATAAAACTAATAATATTTTACATACCTAATGAACAGAAGATCACTATTGTAATAAGAGATAAAAATAAAGTCCATATTAACCTTTGAGCAAAGTCTATTTTCACCTTAAATTGTGAAACTGGATATTTTTAACCCTCAACTTTTAAAACTGGAGGAAAAAATGGATGGGGATATTTTTTGTGGTTTTGTTTCAAATGGATGTGTTTTTTTTTCTATCTGTATATATCTTTACCATGCATATTTTGCTGATGCAAATGTGAAACTTACTCTTAACTTACTCTACAACCATGAAACTTACTCTTAATTTAAGTTCATGCTAACAAAAAACTACTATTATATCAGTCAAAACCTCCACAAAATATGGTTTAGGGTTACGTGCCAGCTGGTTTTGAAAGTTAAGGGTAAAACAATAACCCTTTTTTTTACTTCAAGGTGAATATTGGATTTTGAATAGGGTTGGCAACGGGGCGGGTTGGGGACGGGTTGGGCGGGAACGCCCCCGCCCCCGCTCCCCGACTTCTCCCCCCGACCCCGACCCCACAGAGGTGGTCGGTGGAAAACGTCACCCGCCCCCGTCCCCGCAGGGGACCCGACGGGTGAGCGGGGCCCCGCACAACCCGGCTAGAAGACGACGAGGCGAGCCGCGGCGGACGAGATGAGGCAAGGCTCGCACTACCTAGCCATCGATGGACAACGGCGACGAGGCGAGCCGCCGCTGCCCGCACTTGGCCTGGCCTTCGCCGCCCGCGCCTGGCCTTCACAGCCGCCGCCCGCGCCCTGGCCGACGCCGCCGCCCGCGCAGGTCGCGCCTGGCCGTCGATGCTGCCGTCCGCGCCTGGCCGACGTCGCCGCCGCCGCCCGCGCCTGGCCAACGCCGCTGCCGCGCCTGGTCGCCGACTCCGCCACCCGCGCCTGGTCGCCGCCACCGCCCGTGCCTGGCGGTCAACGCCGCCGCCGCCTGTGTGGTGTGAGGGTGACGGGGAGAGGAGATTGGGGAGAGGGAAGAGGATAAGGTTAGGGTTGGGCTCTTTTATTTTTATATTTTAGACTTTTCTTGGGTTGGGCTCTTTTGGGTCTTACATGGACTACATTTTAAAGTTTAATATACATCCTCCGGGGCCCCGCGGGTGAAATGCCTCCCCCGTCCCCTCCCCGCAAAAAAACGGGGCCCCGACCCCGCCTCACCCGCGGGTCAAAAATTGAACCCGCCCCCGCGGGGGAAATTGCCATCCCTAATTTTGAACAAAGTTAAAGTGCAAAAATATGGACTTCACCCATAAAAGAACGAAGAAACACAAGACATCCATTGTCAATGCTGATAATTGTGAACAGATAGGGAGGAGGCAGTTTTTTTCAGTACAAACTAGGACATAGGGGGTAAGTAAATGATGCAAATCTGGTGTAGATGCATATGTGGATGGCTGCAGGTTCGTGAATTTTTCCCACTGTACTTGTACCTCCTATGCCAGAAATTCTAGCTACTGGTAACAACACGATGTGATGCTATGTGTTCAAAGAAGTGATATACGTCATTGGGTTACAAATGATTGGTGGTTCTCTTACATGACTGCAGGTCGATCTAGAGGCCCAGGGTTACCGTGGTTGGAGAATCTGGCGCAGATACTTAACCGGCTGCACCACGCAAATCTCTGTTCGACATGATTTATCAGGCCAGATAAAAAGAATCAAGAGCAGACTAGACCAGATATCAGAGAATCACAAGGAATTCAAGATCGAGCATACACCTGGGGCATGGACATCTTCCATCACAGAAGTTGCTGCATGGTATGCGACTATAATTGAATTTGAATTATCTAGTGAAGTCATTACCGATTCCTGCATGAAGTAAAACAAGCGTTAGGCGTTGTGAAGTTTAGGGGTATCTAATTTATTTAGGGATTTTTGTGGATCCATAAAATTAAGAATTTGGAAATGAAGCATCCTATGCAGAGTCTAGTCAAGTTCATCAAAGAAAAGCGATGTCTCAAAAGCAACATAGACTGCTGGACAGAGTAACATTAATATTGGACTAGGCACACAATGTTAGATAGGGATAGAGATTTAGGAATACCACAATCATTTAATCCTTCATGCAACTCAATTTCCAGGGACAACATTGGGGACGCTCCGGTGGGATTTGATGGTTACTTGAGGGCACTGGAGAATCATCTCCTTTCTCATGAACATACTCCACAGCAAAGATTCATTTCCATATTGGGGGAGACTGGTATTGGGAAGAGCACACTCATGTTGACTATCTGTAACAAAATCATTAAGGATCATGAAAATCATTTTGATAAGTTAATCTGGTACAACATGCCACCAAATTCTAGTGCAAATGATCTCCTGAAGCAAGTCTATGAAAGGGCACCGGATAAAGTACCATCAGAAGGGGAAGATACTGATATCACCAAGAAGCTCCGTTCTTTTCTGCATGATAAGAGGTATCTAGTTATCCTGGGTGGCATAAACTCTATAACAGTGCTTAATTGTGTGAAGGCAAGCTTGCCAGACAACAGAAATGGCAGCAGAGTGGTGCTTATCTTAGAGCCTGAGAGCCAGGAAGTTGCAAAGCATGCTGACACCCTCAACAAAAAAGTAGATGCTGATTCCAAAAACATTAGTGGAAGTACAATCCAGCTGGGCAGGTTGAATGAAAGCCAAAGTGCAGAACTGTTCTGTCGCAGGGTCTATGGTTACAACTACACGAAGCCAAGAGGGTATAAAGTCAGTTACAATGAACAAGTCTTTAAGATAACTGGGGGTCATCCTCTAGCGATTGTGGTTTTGGCAGGACTATTACGGTCAAAAGAGATGCCTGTCGAGTGGGATTCAGTGCTGCAACAGCTTATGCCTGGCGTAGAAGCGGGAGAGAGTCAAGGTAACAAGATAGCCGGTGTTCTCTTGACGAAAGAAAAGCCCTTTGAGTGGGATGCCTTGCTCCAGCAGTTGATGCCAACCACAGAAGCTAAACTGTCCAATAGAATGACAATTGAGAGGATCTTCTCAACAAGTTTTGATGACCTCCCGCATGACCTCAAATCATGCTTCCTCTACTTTGCTGCTTACCCTACAAATATCACTCACCCTGCGGATCAGATAATGCGCATGTGGATAGCCGAGGGCTTCATCAAGCCAGAAAAGGGCAAGAACATGGAGGACCTAGCCCAAGAATATCTCAAGGAGCTTATCTCAAGGTTCCTAGTTGAGGTTAAATATAGGAATGAATGCGAAAAGATTGAGTTAGTGCAGGTTCACAATCGACTTCTACGGTTCCTGCAATCAGAGGCTCGTGAAGCTAGCTTCATTGAGATTCATGATAACACTGATGTTCTTGCACCAGCAGCAGTGCGCCGCCTTTCCATTCAGAATGACAGTGGAAACTATATTCCTTTTGGAAACAGATTCCCCAAGCTGCGTTCCTTCATATGTCGTGTCGAAGAGGGAGAAGGTGCCAGCGCTACACCGGACCTGAAGAATGACCCAAAGAACATACCAAGGAAAGACCCATTAAAGTTTCTGTGTGGCTCTAAATTCCTTCGGGTAATCTCCATAGGTGGAATACATCTTGCTGAGCTGCCCGATGCGATTGGCGATATGATTCACTTACGGTACATAGGTGTTACCAGCTGTGATTTGGAGAATCTCCCATCAAGCATTGGAAGGCTCCTCAACTTGCAGACCCTAGACATAAGGAACAGCAAAGTCAAAATTATTGCGCCAAAATTCTGGAGGATTAAGACATTGCGGCACGTGATCGCTGCACAGCTTCAACTGCCAAACTCCGTTGGTGAACTGAATAACCTACAAACTCTACATGGTGTAAAACCTGCGGAAAATTGGGGTGGACTGACATGTCCATTGGACATGATGACCAATCTTCAGTCTTTGGAGTTGCATGGATTTAATGATGCCAACCATGGAGTAGCATTGGAACGTGCTCTCCAGAAGCTAGAGCTCCTTGGGCATTTGAAATTGACTGGGGACAAGATTCCATCATCTGTGTTCACTGCACCAAGCCTTCGCTATGTTGAGAGCTTAGTTCTTGATGGGGATATTAAATGGGCAGATAATTCTTCAAATACTTCCAACTACTCACCAGAAGTTGCATTGGGCATCTGTGAGTTGCGACCAAACCTTACTGTGCTCAAATTGAATAGTGTCAGTAAGGAGCTCGAGGAGTTCATAGAGAAAATTAGGCCCCACCTTACAGTATATGAATGTCCCACACGGACAGATGCTTAGAAAAAATTCTGAAGACACGCGTGGTTCAAATTTCATATGTGTTACAAATCAACAAGGAATATGGCTCAACAGGCTCACAAATAACGGAGTTAAACCCAAATTTCTTTCATGCATTATGGTCCTCTGTATATCGGTGCCTTCAGTTGAAGGCTTGTGTGATTTATGAGTAATATTTCTTTTGCAATTGGAAGACAACACAACTATTGATGTTTTTTTTATTCTGTCATGTGGCAGATCTTTCAAGAAATGGAGGACAAAATAGAAATTTCTTTGCAATAGTTAAATGGTTAGTACATGGTTCTCATGTTTTCCCGTTTGGGCAGCTGCAAGGATAAATATGACAACTTTAACTACCTTGTAATCTACTCCTATTCATCTTTGGCTCCTGTAATAACTGACTGGATAACACATAAGCATGTTTTCAAAAACTCTGGCTGAAAACAAACGGCACATGTTATTGTAACTTTTTTTTTCAGCGGCGAAGCTATTACAAAATGATTTATTTTCTGGTGATATGAACCTCCGTCATCCAAGAAAAAGACTAGATTCTCACACTAACGACATTAATATTACGGATGCCTTAGGGAGATCCCTCTCAAAAGAATTACTGCACAAATAAACTGTCACATCATCACAGCACAATGGCTTAGACATTCCCACAAACAGCTGGTGTGCACAGCACAATCCACCAGCAAGCGTGCCACAATGAAGAGAAAGGTCGAAAAGGAGAATGCAGAGGAGGAAAAGGATGTGTGGTACCTGGGGCTGGGGCCAAGAGGCGTACGTACGTGGCCTCCGGCTCGACGGCAACCGCGCGAGCGCGACCCCCTGCCGCCGGTCTGTGTCGTCGCCGCGTGGCTGCTGATCATAGCATGGCCGCAGTTGGGCAGTGCGAGAAACTGCAGGGGAAGGAAATCGCAAGGCGGTTCGGAGGCTACGAGATGAGCGGGGCAGACGGCCGAGCTCGGTGGAGATGGCGCCGCTGTCGCCAGGACAGGGGCACATCATATCATATCGGAGACGAAGCTTGTCAGCCACTCGGGCTGCAGTATACTCCATCCGTCCTAGTACTCTCTATGTCCTCTAATATAAGGAGATTTCGATATTTTATTTACACTTTAACCATTCATCCATCGTATTAAAAGTTTTTTGGAATTATTATTTATTTTATTTGTGACTTACTTTATTATCTAGAGTAATTTAAGCACAACTTTTTTTATATATTTGCATAAATTTTTTAAATAAGACGAATAGTTAAGCAGTGTAAGCAAAATGTTAAATTCCCTTATATTAGAGGACGGAGGGACTATAAGAAATATAAGCAATTTTAGAGATACATGGTATTGGAGGTATACCACGAAGGGCTTTCGGGCGGACCTACTGAAACCAAACCAAGAACTTGGGTAGCAGGCCCAGATCGGAGGCAGGCGGCGAAGGTCGAGAAGAAAACCATTTGGGCGAAAGCCACAAGGCGTAAGTCGTGGCTTGGAATATGCTAACTTCGCCAAGCGAAGACCTTGTCAAAGGACCGCACAGGCGAAGATGATGAGGCGAAAGCCTCGGCATTAAAGCACGGATTTCGCCAAGGTACCGAACCTCGCCGTTAGGAGGCCCAGCGGGCCGCTAGGCCTTCGGGGGATTTCAGCAAATAGATGGGCCAAGTCATTTAAGCCCAATAGGGGGCCATACGTGTAAAGGACACTGTGTGCCCTCAATAATGTCCCTATCATAAGGGTAACCACGTAAATTCCCCTGTAAAATCAAAACGCTAATAGGGGAACCTATAGTAATAGGGCTATAAATAGCCCCCTAGGGCCATGTAATAGGGGGATCCAAAAAAAACTTTCACTAAGCAATACAATTGTCTTTCTTTTCCAACCACTGTTGAGAGGACCACGCCTTTCGACATGGCGCAGTTGTCCATTCAATAACACATGGCATATCTTGATACGAATTAGGAATTAGCAGTAGAATGTGTCACATCTATCTATCCAGAATTCGTAGTACTAGATATGTCACATCCCTCCTAAATTTCTTATATTATGAAACAGAGTGAGTAACCCTAAATTTTTTATATTATGAGACGGAGTGAGTAACCAAAATAGTGTTCCTCTCAAATTATAAAAAAAATGTTATATTTTAAGAAAGGGTTATAGTTTAGGTGTAACTTTTAGAGCAACAAAACATCAATGTTTATGGAATTTTTTTACGATAAGTACGTCAGAGTACGGATGAAAAAGGTAGGAGTATGAAACAACTCTGTTATTGTTTTCACGGAAAATGTATCGATATGATAATTTATATATATATATTAATTTAACTAAATACAACTTTAATACGATAGAAATAAAATTTTAAAAAAGTCGGAAACAATTAGAAAGCAATATCATTTTTTAGTTTCTTTTAAGGAACGATATGTAAATCCGTTATATTTTACAATGGGAATTGCACTAGTTAAAAAAAATCTAAATCATGTACTACATGTAAGCATGGTATGGTTGTGTTTAAATTTTATCGCACATTATTACTCCGTTTGTTCTTGATAATTTAATTTAATTTTCATCAAAATATTTGTTCTAATTTACTTTGTTTGATAACTCATGGCCTGGTGGTAAGGCCGTGTTATCACAGTTATAGGGTACGTCTTCAGTTAGAGTAACCAAATTATGACAGTCAAACTGCTATGTACATGTCACACCATCCCCATATCCACGTAGTGGTCATATCGAAACTTCAATCTTTTAAATAAATTTGGCTTAAACATGCTATAAATTCATCCTAATATATACCAAATTTAGTCATTTATGTTTTTATTTGGTAAAAATACCACTTTTTCCAGCAAGAAATGTCAATTGATCTTCACTACTTGCACCTAGAAAGTCTTCACCAAACTCAACTGGAGTCATTGATTCTTGGTTTATTTAACCCAATTTCTGTTACTCCCTTGCATTGTCATTCCATACACCACTGCTCATACATACATGCATGCTATTTTCTTTGATACAACACAAAGTCTGAGAATTACTACGTAGTATGCATGCTGCCACTTAGACCATCCAATAGGATTGGCAGGTATCATGATGAATTGATCATCTTCGTCCGGGATTCACAACCCTAGAGCTTTGGTTCATAGAAAGACTCGTGCACATTGTCATGTGGGAGTTCCGTTTCACAGGCGTCGAGAGGGAATCGGCTGTCATGGATCATCGCACGGGATAAACAGAAACGCGCACGGCTATATAATTCGTTAGGAATTCCTTGTTAGAGATAAAGTTAATTAGGAGTTTGTTAGGGAGTTTGTTAGCCTGGATTTTTCACATTTTGGTCCTTTTAAAAAACTTATTTCGCAAATAGAGCCCTGAAAAAACTTATCCCAGAAATGGTTATTTTTGGGGCGCCAGAGTGGCTGGCGCCGCCATCCAACGGGATGGCGCCGGCCTCTCTGGCGCCGTCCTCCTGCCACCGTGGCACACGCGAACCGACGTGGCAGGAGGAGGGCGCCAGTATGGCTGGCCCCGCCCCAGGGAGGAGGGCGCCAGCATGACTGGCACCCCCCCTCCCAAACCCTCGCCTCCATTTCTGTTTCTCTGTATGGAGTTGCAACGGTGTCATTTTTGTTTTATTTCTCGGATGTTTTTTCACTCAACCAACCAAAAAAATTAAACTTGAACTACCACTTAGTCTACTTTGCACCTTCACTAATCTACCACTTTGATCTACCCTTTGATCAGCATGTTAAATATAATGCACTCTACCACTTTATGAAATTACTTAATCTAATTCAAAATATAACCACATGAAATGATAGCCATAAGTTAAATAGTACAGAGAGATGCAACTTTTTTATTTTTATTTCATTTTTTTGATAATTTTTTCACACTTAGGAGAACATAGGAACCAACCATATAAAAAATAAACTGAAACGGACAAAATATGTGACTTGTAGAATTTTTCAAAATTCTACCGAAACGGACAAAATATGTCATCTATTAAAATAGGCGTAACTTTCTCATACGGACTCGGAATCAGGCAAATAATATATGCACGAATATCTACAGAAAAAGTTACATCCGATTCTTTTGGCTTTGCTGGGTTTGGCGATATTAAAACCTCCAAATTCCGCTTGCAAGATTGTGTTTTCGAGGAGAGAAGTTTTTCGGTAGGGCTTTGGAAAATTCTACAGGCCACATGTTTCGTCCGTTTGAGTTTATTTTTTATATTTTTGGTTCTTGTGAGTTCCTAAGCGTGAAAAAAATATCAAAAAAATAAAATAAAAATAAAAAAGTTGCACATCTCTCTCCTCTGCACTAGTTCGGAGAGAGGAGAGGAGAGGAAAAATTCTACAGGTCACATATTACGTCCATTTGAGTTCATTTTTTCTATGGTTGGTTCTTCTGTGTGCCTAAGCGTGAAAAAAATATCAAAAAAATAAAAAAAATAAAAAATTTTGGGGAGGGGGCGCCAGCCACTCTGGCGCGCTCCCCCTAGCCACCTCAGCATTGCCCCGCCACGTCGGCAGGGATACGGCGCAGAGAGGCTGGCGCCGTCCAGTTGGATGACGGCGCCAGCCAATCTGGCGCCCCAAAAAGGACCATTTTTTAGATAAGTTTTTCCAGGGGTCTATTTGCAAAATAAGTTTTTCAAAAGGACGAAAATGTGAAAAATCCAGGTTTGTTAGCCTATATCATGTAATCAGTAACGATGAGGCAATAGATGAATCAGATCAATCTTCCAGCTAATTCTTCTCCTTCTCCTCTTCGGTGTGGTCTTTCATCTTGCGCACTTCTTTCTGTTCTTCGGCAAAGAAGAACAAATCAGGCGTCCGAGACCTCGGCCTCCGAGATTCCATCCGTATCGCTTGCGTCAGTTGCAAAGGGCGTGACACACATGCTGTGCCCTGCTGCTGCATCCTACAATGATCCAGTTAAGCTTGTTCATCTCTACTTCTGTCCCATCCACGTACATCATGTACCTCCGAGGTGCCAGAATACATCGTGACCGGATATTCATGTAAGTAAGCGCATGAAAATTTAAGGTAGTTCTGAAATACTCTATTTGATTTGGCAGGGTAAATTAAGTCTAAACATTGCTTTTGTTGTAAAAACCTCTTGAAAGATCTCAATTTGCATTGACTTCAACAGTTTGGAGACATGAGAATGAGATGAGAATATATATCATGGTTTAAGCTAAGGGCCTGAAAAACTCTCAAACTCAGCACTTATAATACTATAGTTAAGCAGACTGCTATTCCAATGTGGTTTTCCACATCTCATGTATATGTTAACAGTTTTATCATGAATAGGCCCACTTCAAAATATTTATCGCAGGAACGTCATACTTTCAAATAAATCGTAGCCAATCCCCCTTTATTTCCTATCGTAATACAAAATTTCATCTGTTTGATTCGTGTTTAACGTACTTAGCAACTAGAGGAGAAAAGGAGCAATTAAAACTCAAGATATCGAGGCATTAATTTAATTTGGAGCAATTTAGAACTAACTTTTCTTCCACACAAGATATTATGTTTACTGTCTTTGATTAGTAGTACATAACGTTAGTCTGGGTTTAAGGCATAATTGTGCTAATCCGAACATGTTTTGGGGTGAAAGAAATGTGTAGGCCAGGGGCAGATCGGGTAGGCTATTAGCAACAATTTAGCATCTAATCTGCAATAATTCACACTTATGGATTGTGAATTCTTTGAGCGCAATTGAGCCCAAGAATGCAAAGGGAGGAAGAACCAGATCCTAGATGAGCAAATCCAAGTA